AAATTTGGCCAATTTGGATTTATCAAGCCAGGTCAAACTTTTGGAGTCTGGTGCCAGGCAGTTTATTGCCAGTGTATTTAAACACAGTACAATCTCCAATGTACAATGAGGCATAAGTACATCAAAGCTCAACTCAAAGTACACGTCACTTCTTCCAGGAAGATGGGTTCCACATTAGCTTAAGGGCCTAGGGAAGGATCTGGTGTGGTCTCAGTCATACATACATACATACATACATTGTAGAGATCATTTGGGCTATTAGCCACCTCTGGTCCTGGTTGTGGGAGCATGGGGGGGAGCCCCTGGCTAGACAGATAATATAAGGGTCATTTAGACTTCTTGCCACCTCCCGTCCTAGTTGTGGGAGCTTGAATATGGCCTGGTCTTACAGACAACAGGATCACCAGGCTATTCATCATCTCTAATTCTTAGCTTTCTGAGTGGAAACGCAGGTTTTACATCCTTTCTTTTGAGAGGCCAATCCTGCATGCTTAACATTCCTAGTTTCCATAGTGCAAGGACCTTCATGCGCCTAACAATAGAGCAAGAGTGGCTATGTTTTAATCGCTTTTGTAGAAAGTGCTACCATTTCGGTCAGAACACACCCTATAACACTACATCTTGCCCACCCACACTCTGAAGCTGCCTTCTGATTTTCACCATTACATTTCTAATACCTTCTGATGTGCTTCCTTGTGTTTGTCCTTATCTGTTTTTAAGATGTTCTATATGAGCAGTGATATTTTATTGTTCACTAAATCTCAACATCAGAGTACCTAGACGTAAGGACGAGAACACAGCAGGCACTTGGTAAATGAAGAGACATAATTTTTTCTGACATCCATTCAGATGTACAACATGTTCAATATGATGGCTGACCTCTGAGCACTGAACACATACATGATAACTGCATCTTAGCGTAGGGAGGCAGAGTGCTTGACCAAAAGCCAGAATCTTCAGGTTCTTACTTACTTTTTTTTTTTTTGATACATCTAAAAAACAGTTTACTAGAAAAAAAAATTATTAATTGAAATTATGCTTTGTATAAATCCAGTATAGATCTTTTGGACAGATCTGATTTTAAACAGGGGCATTCCTATGAACTCACAAAGGACCCCCCTGCATTGCAGCATGCTGCAGTGCAGTCAGTGACTGAAGAGGCACCTCAGGCTGACTGAGGAAGAAGAGAGCGCCATAGCCTCATCTTCAAAGTCAAAGGAGGTCATTTTATCCAATCGAGAAGTGGTTTACACTAACCAAAATCTCTTGAAACGCATCTATAAACTGGGATGTCAAGGTGACAACATTCTGAGTAATGAGGGCGTGGGGTCTGAGGTCAAATAGACCCTGTTCAGATGACATCTCTCACTTACTACTTATGCCACCTTATACGAACTACAGCTCCTGTGAGTCAAATCTGGATGCTAATACTGAATGTCCTGGGAGATGGTGGCATGGTTCGGCAGGTAAAGGTGCTTGCCACCAAGCCTGATGTCCTGAGTTTAATCCCGGTGACTTACGTCATGGAAGGAGAGAACTGACTCCTGCAAGTTGCTCTCTGACTTCCATGTGGGTGGTATGGCATACTCACACCCACATACAGATACAATTAATTAATTAAAATATAAGTATCCTGAATTAATCCATAGAAAGGGCTTAGTATAGAAAGCTTTTATTTGAGCAGAGAATCACAATTGGAAGTTACTTTGTCTCATGGTGCCCATGTCTGAGCTGTGATCATATCTATACTCAGCTGTAGAGTGAGCATTACAGAAGACATGCAGCTGAGAGCAATTACTGAAAGTGGGGTAGATAATCTTGGGCTTTGTTTTGGTTTTTAAGATAGAGACCTACCTGTAGATCATCCTGTTTCCATCCCCCCAAAGCTAGAATTATTACCGACATGAGTTGCCACACATAGCTGAGGTAGATGATTTTATTCACCAGAAACTTTCTAAAAATGCTTTTGCAAGAGAAGGTCTACAGATCCCAGTGGCACACAGATGAATGGGAGAGATAAGGAGTCATGCGCTCTAGGTCATCAGTGAAGCATCAGGTTGTACAGAGGAAGGCGGTTAGGGAGGAGTGGCATGTGAGGCAGAACAGCAGGAGGACCCCACAAGGATGAGGTAAGAGGGAATATAAATATATATATATATATATAGTTATATATATATATATATTTATATATATATATATAACTATATATATATATATATATAGTGTACATGTTCAAAGTGTGGGAGCTGGTGGATAGAAACTTCTGTCCCAAGGATACTTGGGTGGTGTTAGCTTGTTGCGAATATATAAAATCCCCTCCATGGGTAGAAAATCCATGCCAAAGCCTAAATATATTTCAAGCTTCCCAGCCTTGCCTTGTGGTTTTTTTTGTTTTGTTTTGTTTTGTTTTGGGGGGGGGATGATGTCATGAGAACATTAGATTTTTCATGGTTGCCCCGATTACATTTCTGTTTCTTTTTATTATTTTATATTACTATTTTATTCTAATCTCCATTACTGCCACTTATCACTAGATTCATCATTGTAACAGTGATTCATATCTCAAGATATATTGTTCAAATATATCATCTTACTGTTCTTTATGTCTTCTGGTTTCATTATCTCTTCCATTATATATTATACAAGTTGTTATTTCATGGGATTTATTGTTATTTTGTTTCCTTCTGTTTTTTTTTTTTCTGTAGCTTTAGAGGCTGTATTGGAACTAGTTCTTGTGGACCAGGCTGGTCTCAAACTCAGAGAGGTCCGCCTGCCTCTGCCTCCCGAGTGCTGGGACTAAAGGCGTGTGCCACCACTTCATTTCCTTCTATAGAGTACTATATTTTGAAATCATGTGTTTCCAGTTGGGTGCTTCTGGGAAAAGTTCCTGTATATGACCAACTTCACTGTACATAAAATATCTGTACCCAAAAACTGTCCCTGGCATCTGTTCTGGTTTTATTGTGACTCAGTTTTCAGGAAACCTAGTTATTATTTTTCTCAACTATTCAAAGAATTGAACTGTGAGTCCACAGTGGTTAGATTCTGGAATCTATGTTAGACTTTGTAAACTATGAGCTCAGATGAGCCAAGCAGTGGTCCCCACTTTTTGCTACTGTAGGTTTGCCATAGTTTGGTCGAGGAGACAGATAAAATGAACTCCTCACTTGAATATCTAGCTTTTAGAAATAAACAGATGGGGTAATGTGGATATGACTGAATTTCTAGGGAAGACAAAACATAAATTTTTACCAGGAATATATTTAGACCCATCTAGCTTTGTATCAATGTAGGGCAAAGTCAGTGAAATCATAACGATGTTACTTCCTACTTTCTTGAGATGAGGAATCACTTCTCACTGTAAAGCCCTGGCTTGCCAGAAACTTGCTGTCTCATCTAGGCTGGCTTTGAACTCATGATCCTCTTGTCTGACCTTCTCCAGTCCTGGAATTACAGATGCTGTCCACCATGCGCAGTGATTCAGAGGTAGAGCCATTTATAGTGATACACCCAAAGATCTCTGCGAGAACGATTTAAAATGAGTTGAAGAACACTAAAGTCTGAATGTTATGGGACTCCTTGTGTGCCTGATGGCTGTCCACAATTCCAGCTTGACTGTAGGTGGGAGTCTAGTATGGTATCATCAAGAAGACAGGTGTGCTTTATCTTAACAAGGACCACTTAGATGTGTTGTGACAGGAGGCAGGGAGGGTTCTGGACGCAGAGCATCCTGCAGCAGTGTGAGAATGTAAAGAAGATGACTAGGTGGGTCTGCCAGGAGGGAAGACATGCACAGGATGGAGATCATGGACAGTTTGGATCCCATAACAGTGTTTCCAGAAGAGGCTCCAACGATGCTCATCATACAGAATGGTGCAGTAGATAGTGGATAAAATGTGGGCAGTACTGGGCAAAGATAATGCAAATGGGCCCTTCAGAGCCTGTAACAATGTACCAGTGTGTCTGAAGTATCTCCAGGAAGAGAACTGTGACATGAAAACTTTAACCTTTTTCAAACGTATATAACCACAAAGCTGGATGTTCTCCGCAGGCTAGGATTATAGCTCAGTTGGTAGAGTGCTGGCTGAGCCTACACAAGGTTCTGGGTTTGAGTTCCAGTGCTACATGCACACCTGTAATTACAGCACTCAAGAGGCATGGGCAGGAAGATCAGAAGTTCGGGATCATCCCTAGTAAAATAGTGAATGGCTCAGTAAATGAATGGGTCAGGGAATGAATTAATTTGGGCAGGATTAGGTTAGGAGGGAATCAAAGTAAAGAGAAATCGTATGTATCAGTGCTAATTAAAGGAACGGTTTTGAACTTAGACAGCGCTGCCTTTGGTACTTCCCTCTATTGTACCCATCACCCCCTCCTGCATTCTCCTGTTACTTTCTTGTTTCCAGTTGTAATATGGAATAAGATTATTTATTTGAATGTGTCTCCTTACAACCTATTTCTTTCTTAACTTCATAGGTAATTCTGTTCTTGCAAACTCCCAAATGAACCTCAGTGAAATAGACGTTCTTGCAGGTGTGGGGATGGATGGTAGAATATTTCATGCTAATTTGGAACTGTGTATATATTGTGTCTAGGTACCTAGTCTACATATTTATTACAAATATGTACATACATGTGCAGCCTTCTTCTGTGTTCAAATTCACCTGGCTGTGCCCATGCTTAACCTTACTTATCCTAACTCTGATGACTAACCAAGGAAGACAAAGAAGTAGATGATGACCTATCATGTTTCATAGTGAGTTTGTTTGATGGTGGTGCATTAAATTAATGCAGCTACTGAAGGAAGATAAGCCCCTGCCTCCACCTCCCAGGGATTTCAGGATGACAGCTGTAAGAAAGGTCTCTATAGAAAGCATGACAGTGTATAGCTACTCACTAAGCAAAGGGTTTGACTGAGAAATCTACAAAGTTTTGACTAGCTTTTTGATAGGGATCCCAGCCTTGGTATAACCTAAGCTTTGTTTCTTTTCTTCCCTCAGAACGCCAACCAGGCACCTCTATGGCCAATTCCAATACTGTTCCTTCAAGTTCAGCTGGGATCAGCAAGGAGCTGATTGACCTCCAGCCCTTCATTCAGTTCCCGGAGGAAGTGGCCAGCATCCTGACAGAGCAGGAGCAGAACATTTACCGAAGGGTCCTGCCCATGGACTACCTTTGTTTCTTAACCCGGGACTTGAGTTCCCCTGAATGCCAGAGTTCCCTGCCCCATCTCAAAGCGTCCATCTCAGCATCAATCCTCACTTCTCAGAATGGAGAGCATAATGCCCTTGAAGACCTTGTGATGAGATTTAATGAGGTAAGGAACCACTCAGACATTCCCGTATTTGAGCCACCATCTATGGTTGGTTCTTAAGCATATTTCTTGTCTGGGGTCTGTCTTTGATAACTCTTCTACCTATCTGTTCATCTTGCTTCTTCCACGATGACCAGTTTTCTTCCCAGGCCCTGAGATTGCCACCTCACTGTCTTCTTCCTTCTCAATGCGTCCTAGCTGTCTGCAAACATTTCAACCTCCAGACTTCCCTCCACCCATTCCCAGCAGTGTTTCTCAGACCCATGTCTCAATTGTGAGCTTTGACAGCATGAAGGCTGGCCATGTCTATCACTTCTCCTCAGAAACTTAAAAGACCAGTACCTGGAGTTCCTCATGCAAGGAAGCATGGATATATTTACCAAGGGTTATGAATCTCTCCACTCGCCTCTCTGCATCCTATCAAAATCCTCAGCCCTAGAAAGTCGCCTTAATGTTTCAGAGACTATGCCAGAAGCCAGTTCTAAAGAGCATGAGTGTGGCTGGAGTTTGGGAACCCTGAAGATGGAACTTCTGTATAGCATCCAGGGATGGGGCAGGGGTGAGGAGCCAATGGCTCGCATCACTATGGCTTAGGACAAAGAGGAGGTGACAGGAAGGAGATGCAAGTCTTGGTCTTAAAGCACCCTTCTCTCTTGCTAATGTGCCCACATCCATAGTTTTCTTTTTCTTGTTTTACTTGTAATTTTGATTTCTTTTTCCCCAATTATTAAGTTACAAATTTTTAAGACGGCTATTATGGGTTCTTGGTTGGTTGAATTCCACAAACACACAAACAGCTCAGTTTCTGATTCAGGTCACTAGTAAGTACCAACTAATGCTAAGAGGATTTTCATTGTGGGTCATGTGTACCTCTGATTGACAGAGGGTCAGTCAGCCTTTGTTATGCGTGCCCTTCCTAACTCCTGGCCTCAGTCTGTAGCCTCTATAGTTTGCCAGAAAAGACCTTGTCAATGGTGGTAAATATTATTGATCAGGGTGAAGTCCAGTAGATAAAGAAAGTGTTAGAGGCTGAGCCCAGCTGGCTCCATGTCCAGGCATGTCCACAAATCTTATTCCTCAGAGAGACGCCTGTGTCCACAGGCCGGGGAGGCTCACAATGACAGTTTTACATGCATCATTCACTATCTCTGCATAGTGACCTTGGGGAACAGCTTTCCAATGCAACCAACAGGGAAACCAGGTCAGTCACAGGCTCAGATTACACAAGGGGTGGGTGGCTGTTGTGAGATCCAAACCCAGATATTCTGGTCTTTGGCCTCTACAGTGTCCTGCCTGTCACCTGTGTTGAGGGTGACACTTTCTATAGCTGCAGCTTTCCATCCCACCCCAAACTAAAATACAGTCACTAGGAGTCCACAGGAGACCTTAGAAACCACGCCCACCCAGAGTGTTTTTTAAAATAAGTCTCCTGGCGTTCTTGATCTCTCTTACTGATAAAAACGGACGGGAAAATGAGAGTTCCCGTAAATGGAGTGATTTTACTGTTTCGAGACTTATTTGAAATTTCCAGCTCCACTTCCTCTCACATCTTTAAGACCCTCCCTGTTCTTGTCCTTTTTAGAAAATTAGACCTTAACTTACAAGTGACTTGCAATTACAAGAAGTTTTAAAATCTAATTTTAAATCAAACTTGGACTTTTTCCATCGCTGTCACAGCCTTGGGAGTCGGTGACGAAGCAGCGATTTGCCCACAGAGCAGAGCTAGAGACGGGGCACCCACATGTGGGGTGAGGTATGTTTTGGACTATCTCTGAAAATAGTTTAGCGGCAACTTCAGAACATAAACAAGATTTCTGGGAAAACACTTAAACTGCTTATGAGAATAGAGTATTTTCAAGTATTCTCAAGCATCTATTTTCATACAAATCATAGGCAAACTAATTAAAATGTCAGTCTGGGCAGTGATCAAAGGCAGATTCAAAAGGATTTCCACCAAGCAGCCCGGGCATAGCTAATTCTGTTCACTTTTTAGTAAAAGGTGGGAAGGCTGGCTAACATTCAAAGAGAATGATACAAGGATGACTTGTGAACACTTACAATGGACTGCCTCCAGATTGGTGTGGCTTCCCACAATGAAAGGGAAACAGGTGGGTCCTGGAGGTCACTGGCCAGTCAGCCTAGTTGAGTTGACGAGTTCCAGATTCAATGAGATACCCTGACTCAAAAAAACAAGATGGAGAGAAATTGAACTGGACACTAACCTCTGACCTCTACATGTGTGTGCATGCACACATGCACACATGCTTGCACACACGCGCACACACACACACACACACATCTGCATATACATGTGCATTTACATGACTATGTACATATACCACACACAAAAAAAAAAGACTCCCTAGGACCACCTGCCCAGGCATAGCACCACACAATGGAGTAAGCACCATCCAAAATAGGGTAAGCACCACCCACAGGGGGTAAGCACCAGGGAAAGCCCACCTATTTAGTAGGTGCTCTGGACTGGATACTTTCACATTTTTTTTTACCCTAATTAATCCTTTTACAGCAAATGAAGGAGGTGAAGCTTAGACAGCAAAACAAATAATGATGACATTGAGGCCGTGGAGTCCCCATGAGAACACAACAGCCAGCAGCATTGTGTGTGGAACCAGTAATGCATTTCAGTTATTTAGCAAAAAGAAATGGAATGAGAGATGGGGTGTTTGCAGGAACCCAAGGCAACTAGAGTGGAGAAACCCAGCTACAGACACTGTCCCAAGGCTCCTTGACCAGTAATGATGCATATCCAAGTGAGCTCTTACTCAACCTGCTTAAAGAGGTGTCACCTCGGTGTGTTCTCGCCACAGAGACAAATCTGGATCTAGTAATGGGAAAACATCAGGCATACCCAGGTTGAGGGACAGGCAATGCTCAGGGTCGTGTCAGGGTTGTGAAAGATGAAAAATCTGAGGCGCTCTCAGCATTGGAGAAGAGACAAATTCTAGTGTCAAATTCTAGTGAACATGAGACTGGATAAAAAAGGAAAGGGATAGGAAAATAGTAAAGCTTGGATAAGGCATTTTTGATACTCAGCTAATGCAATAGTAATTTGCAGTTGATTGTACGTTGATTTAAATAATTACTGCATTATTGTTTATGTCCTGGTTTTCTCACTTGTGCTGTGATTGTGAACAATATTCGCATCCAGGGAAGGCGGGTGAAGAATATGTGGGAATTCTGTACTATTTCTACAGCTTTCTGGTAAATTTAAAAAGTTTTCAAAAGCCAGTTTTAAAGTAACACAAGGAGCTCAGGAAGGCTGAGTCACTTGTCGAAGGTCACACAGAAGCTAAGATGCTGTCAGACCCCGGGTCTGTCTTCATTCTGCCTTTCCTCACTTCCCAATAAAGCTGGAAGCTCTGATTCAGAATTGTATTAACCTTAATCTCTTTGCATGTTTTTCTCTAGGTCTCGAGCATTTACCCTTTTTTATTTCTATTGCTATTTTTTCTTTTATCTAGCTTCTGTTTACTAGACTTCTGCCACCAGTCCCCTACTCATTCATTCATTCATTCATTCATTCATTCATTTATGCAAGATATACTTTCTGCAAGCTTACTGGGCTTTTTTGCCATCTCTTCTCTCCCCACAACGATAGGCCAAACAGATTTTAAAATAAGAAATCAGCAATATTTCACCCTGGAACTTAACAACATTAACCCATACTTTGGTCTTGTCAAAATTAGGAACATCCCTCTTCGAGAGTAGGAAATGTATTCCTTAGCACATTACAGGACCCTAAACAGAAGAAGAAGGCCAGCCATTGCAGAGCACTGGTCCCCGGGGAGAGGCTGATGTGTTTATTGGTGCAGTCAGTCACCCTGGCCCATGTATTCAGCACTTCTCAGGAGCAGGCCAGTTGGTGGATGTGCTCTAAGGAAAGTAGGAGTCTGCAGCTGCCAGAAGCTTCCAGGGGCAGACACAAATAACTACCAAAAAAGGCAGCAAGTGCATGCCGCATGAGTGCTGCACACAGCAGGGGTAGAGGAGCACTGGGGGGGGGGGCTGCAGCCCCCTCTGCTGTGCTCTGAGGCTGGGGCTGGGCCTTGGGCGACAGACCATGCTGGGGAGAAGCCATGGGACAGGAGGGCCCTTCCAACAGGAAGACAATCCACCGAACCTTTCCTGTCCTGAGCGAGACTTCCCGGCATGGTGAGGTGGCTCCCTCTTGAATGCCTGCAGAACCTATGATCTAGACGTTTCCCACGTCCCAACAACCCTGCACACAGGGACTTATCTGTAACAAGGGGAAAGGGAAGAAAATTCCTGATGCGGTGTTGCATAATGTTTGTTCTGAGGGAAGGATGGTGAAGATGCAGCTCAGGGAAGAATCACGAAACAGCTGGACAGGTTTTGCTGCCATGAGGAAGGCCAGGAGATAAATCACTGACAGCGTTTCTTCCCATGCATGCCCTTTTCCCTGCTCTGGAAGACTAAGGTGCCCGTTAGGCAGGCACCTTTTCCTGTGTTTCACCTTGAGAATGCCCAGAAGCCCATGGGTGGGAGAGGCTTCAGATTATACTGGATTCAGCCCTCCTGCATGTTTGGTCTGACAGACAGACCTTTCTGGACCTTCTTCGGCTGGACCTGTCCCTCGGGCCATAATCTTGACCTTAAGCTCCCAGGACCCAACATGCCCTCTCTGCCTTTGGATGAGCTGCCTCGCTTCCTGCCCACACACGAAGCCTCTTTCTCAGAGTCTGACATATTCTCTTCACCCTCTTTTTCTTCCTTCACCCAGTTTCTGCCGCAAGGCCACATTCTCTTTGATCTTACTTTGTTTTTATTTCCCTTACAATAAATTCCCAAGCCATTTTCCTTTTCTAGAAGAGACAGGGGTGTTTCCCTATGTCTTCTTTACCACAGAGATCAAAAGCAGCCGAGAAGATGCCAGTAGAGAATGAAGTACACAGTTCGAGTCTTTACTCCCCAAACCTTATGCCCTGTAATACAGCCTCGGCCCTTGTGTGTTGTTTACC